CTCTTTCCCCAACGTTCTTCTTCTAGGAAGAGAGCTACTGTTTCACCGTGGCTATCTCTGGCTGGTCTTTGCTTGAGGTTACATCTACTGAGCTCAGTAAACCAGGAATGGTGATCACAGAGGACTCGTAGAAGAAGAAAGAAAGTTAGTGAATACTTGTCCAGCTCATAAGATACTCTTCTTAGGGGTGCTTATACAGAGCAATCTCTGGTTTCATACCATGAGTCCTAGGTCCCCAATTGGGCTTTCTTTGCTCTACTAAACCAGACCCTGCTTCCCAAAATTACCCATCAGCCAGCCAGCTAACCAGTCAGTCAGTCAGTTGGTCAACCACTAAACCAGTCAGTCAGTCATTTAGAACACTAGCCAATCAGTCAGCTTGTTTGTCAGCTCATTTCTTATTTATACACTCACTTACTCCTTCCTTCTTTCACTCACTCTCTGACTCACTCACTCAGCAACATCCTTTAGTAATTGGACCACCCACTCACTGATTAGCTAGTCTATCAGCTGGCCAAACACCAATTTTTACCAGAGTGTAAGTTATATCCTGAACATCCTTCCTGCCCTTAGGAATCTAGCAGTTTGGGTACAAAGACACACACACACACACACACACACACACACACACACACACACACACACACAGGTACCAAGGCCTCCTCTATGGGTAATGGTTGATTTCAACACATGTCTTCAAGTTTGAGAGATATAAAGACAGTGGGTGTGGTTGGGATAAACTGGAAGAGCTAATTGGAGAGGGCAAGCATCAACCTGAACTTGAAAAGATGGATTAGCCCAGAAAAAATCTTGGTACTTCATTGGTTCTGATTGTAAAGCCAAAATGTCTACCAATAGGTTTACCATTCAATTCAACTCATTCATTTATAAATCATTCACCATTTGTTTTGTTTGTTTTTACTTTTTTATTGTTTAAAGTATTACATATGTCTCCTTTTTCCCCAATTGACACCCCCACCACCACCACTCTCAACCCCCAGGACAAGCCCCCACCGCCCCAGTGTCTGTGTCTAATGGTTATGCTAATATGCATGCATACAAGTCCTTTGGTTGATCTCTAACTGCCCC